GCATCCCGGCGGTCCCGGCGCGCATCCCTGCGGTCCCGGCGCGCATCCCTGCGGTCCCGGCGCGCATCCCTGCGGTCCCGGCGCGCATCCCGGCGCGGGCGGAGGGCGGCGCTGGGCGGTCCCGCGCGGCTGCAACGGCCGCGCCTCGCTCGTGAGGGAACGGCCCCGGAGCGAGGTCTCCTCCCTGCTCCTGCAAAATGTAGGGTCACAGGCGGCCCCCGAAAGACCCTAGGGGTAGTCACACCCTCTGCGCTGTGGCCTGAGTTTAATTTTTAAGTGTAAGACCTAATCTTGGAGCCTGAGAGGAGCGGGTCTCCGCGTGCCTTCAGCAGGAGTCACGAGCACACGGTATGTTGGAGAGGGAAAGCAGCCCGAGCTAGCCAGTGCCGGTGACTTACCTCAAAGCCACATTGTCCCGAGAGCAGCTTCTTKGCTAGTGTGTGGCTCTTACTTTGGGAGGGACCAGGTAAAGGGACAGTAAAAGAGGAAATGGGAAGTGTTACACTCTTGTGAATTGTTCACCTTAGGTGAATGCAAAGCATAGTCCTGTAGGATTGGTAGTAAACACAGGAAATGTGTGTAACACAAATACTACAAAAATTTAGAATCATGGAATGGTTTGGGTTGGAAGGGACCTKAAAGGTCATCTGGTTGCAATCCCCTTGGTGTGGGCAGAGACACTTTTCACTAGACCTTTCACTAGGTTGCTCAGAGCCCTGGTCTGCAACACCTCCAGGGATAGGGCATCCACAGCTCCTCTGGGCAACCTGTTCCAGAGGTATTAGGAAAGAGTACAGTTCACATACTGTGTACAAAAGGAAAGTCTGGGGAGTGTGTATTAATCACCACCCAATTTAGGCAAGAGAGATGCAGATTCCTTATTTTAAAGGTTTTTTTTTTTTTTTTTAAGTGCAATCACAGATGTTGATCATTTTAAAAGGAATAATGTAAATTATTTAGAAACAATACATAATTAGTCAAGCTTATTGTTAACACACAATAAGGTGACAAAAATATAATTGAGCYATGGGCTACACAAATGGCACAAGACAGATGTTTGAAGACAACAAACTGCTTCCTGTAAGATGAATAGGTTTGGATTAATTCAGAATTGTGACAGAAGACATCCAGAGGCTGTGCTTCAGGCTGTGATGATAAATTAGATTGTCATTTTGTAAAGAGGGATATATTTACCCAGTGRAGATGATTTGCCTAACTGAATTACATGTGTTGATGTTCTATACATACCACATTAGATGCACCTCATCTTGAGGAGAAATAGAWGATRATAGTTTCATWGATCCTTTTAGTGAAGTCATACCACCTCAGTAGCTGACAGACCCTTAAACATAAACTGAGTTCCATGTTTTAGGAGCTGATATACTCAGTGCAGCTAAATTTCATTTTGTCACAGGTTCCTCTGACAGAACTTCAATAGCTATGATAATTTTTTTGATTGTGTTTTTGAAACCTGCTCTGCCCTTCATAGTATCTTTTTGATTTACRAGCTTATGGAGTAGTTTCAGGATGCTGTTAACAGTTTGATAATTGGTTTTGGATCTTCCAGATAAGATTGAGATGATATGGAGTAAGAAGACTTCTCAGAAAAAATCTGCAAAGCTAGAAATTGGGAGAAGGAGGGGACCAATTTGAAAAAAAAAAACCAAAAACAGATACATTTTAAGGGGAAATTGCCTACTTCAAGAAAATAGTTTGAAACTGGTTTATCTACTCATTTTGACTATGAGCAAKAATGCTCTATCTCAGTATCCTGCTTTGGGATGCTATGCTGTATCAACACTTCTGTATTGCTGTCTTTTCCCAATCTGATGAAGTTCACTTAATTATAGGATTTCAGCTGAGATTTGAAAGACCTTGATGAGGTAATTATATTGATATAAAATGTTAGGATTGTCTAAGTTCTTTAGACAGTATAGTGAAAGGTTATAAATGCAGCTTAAAAGACTTGGTCCTGAAGAAGGACAAATTGGAAAGGGTAAGTCATTCTAAGCAGTTCTTAAGAGTTTGAAGCTGCTTCCTAGAGCCTGCTCTCCTTATTCCATCCCAGAGAGGTTGCTCCTCTACTGTCAGAGTCCTAATGTTAATGACACTCTTGAGTTTTGACAGCTAGCCCTATCTGCAGACACCAGTTCCATAAAACATAGTAAATCCTGGAGATATGTGGAACTCACTTTTAGATATCAAAGGCTAAGTTTCTTAGACATCATAGCTCAAAAGCATTAAATTGAAAAGCGGTTTGAGGGTGCTGTAAATAGGGTAGCTGGCATGTTTGAACATATATTACAAATTGTATTTTRTGCTGAAGTGCACCAGGCAGTGTCAAACATGATCACCAGATGCTGTTAATTAATATAAATAGCTCTTTTTAGTTAYTTCAAAGCAGCTTGTATTAGCAAGCAATACTTATTGGCTCTTGGTATAGAGCTTAAAACAATGTATGAGAAGCTTTTGGGAACAGAAATGTAGGCTTCCCAGGGTGTWCAAAGTCCTCCTCCTTTATTTTGTTTCCAAAGTGACCTGTTACTGCTGTGTCCTGCCATCAACACAGAGACCAGCAGGTGTGCTGTGGGCAAAACTACAGAAAAGATTATCTGTGGATTGCAGAGCAAGTGCCCTGCCACAGACACTAAGTATCTCTCATCTGGAATTTTATCCATAAAATAAAATACCATAGCTACAAATGATGGGATGCTACTTTTTAGTAATGTAAATACYGTTGCTTTGTGTTCTTGTATGAGTCATATAAATATATATAAACATGTATGTGTCCACACTTCAGTTTTTCTTAGCAGTCATGTGACAATGTTTCCTAGAAATGTCCAAGTGCCTGGCCTTTGAAATGATGAGAAAAATCCTGTGCAAATGCCAAATACATCTTTATCAACATTAGGAGCAGTGCACAGCTTTTGAATYGAAGGGTTATTTGCCTGGAGCAATTGATGGTGAAAGCAGGATTCTAAATAAGTGAACCAATTCTTGAGCTAATTAATACAATTTAAAAGACAAGAGGACTTGAAAACTACTTGTTTAAGTAGTATGCAGTCATGGTGTGATCAGTAACATAAGCTGAGTATCTCTTAAGTGCTCACTGCATATTTATGCAAAATCTTTTACATTTTTTGATAAGAACACCCAATTCACAAAGTGTTTCCTTTGTTGGATCCCCCAAATGGTCCTGCATCCTGCATTAATTTCCTTTTTATACCCCATCTARCTGTTTCAGGATTAGCAGGCTATTGCATCATCCATGCTTGTCATGTCTGACCTGTAAGAATCTTAAAGAGTTGTCCCTGTAAATACAAATACTTGCAAACATAAAACGTGTAATTGATCTGAATCAATCTAAAGTTTCACAATACTTTAGAAATCTCTTTTTGTACCATGATTTAGGGTATGATTCAACAAAATTCCAAAGTACTAAGATAGACAATGAATCAAAGTCGTGTATAAAGTCACGTTTTTCATCTGTGTTTGAATGACAACATTGTTGTGTTGTCAGACTGAGTGCTGTGTGGGGATTTCTGTTTACCTTCCRCTTACCATGAAGTCAACTCTTACTCTTTAGGGTTTGAAAATTACCACTTTTGTGTGTGTTTGGTAACACCTACAACTCCATGTTCAGTCAGAGCATGCTCGGTTTTACGTGTTCTATGAAGTACTTTAATGTACTGCTACATCCAGTATTTAGATCTACAGAAAGAGCCTGGGAACTCTGCACAGATGACACGTAGCTCCTGCAGGCAACAGCTGTATAAAACTCTCCTGATGACTCCAAGGCGAGCGGTATGAAAGGGCCCTTGCCTTAGGGTCCTACATGCTTCTCACTATCGAGCTGTGTTTGCAGGATGGTTTCCAGAGCAAAGTATGACAAGGAAAGAATCTGACCCACGGTGAATGCTCACTCAATTAGCAGCCTTCTGCTACCTTGGGA